CTAGCACGTCCTATCTCCTCCATATACATCTAAAGCAGAATATCTTTATCAAAACCCTGAGCCTTCCTTCACCTGTAATCCTTTATCTTCCATTCATTACTATCTAAAAAGTTTTAGTGAAATCATGGTCCCAAGCAAGAGGCAAACCACCACACAATTTTATCATTTATATTTTGAGGATCTGGGGATGTTTTTTTCTTTTCTATTGAGATAATGTAATGTAATTTTGGACCTAATCAGATGCAGTTTGCAAGCATATTACACCAGACACAATATGAAAGCTTTTCATGTAAATAAGATCAGAATAACTGACTGCAGTGGTAACAAACTGAGGTAGACTTAATTTTTCACTCAAAGAAAAAAACACAGGAAAAATGTTGTTGCTCAATTCAGTTTTACACATCAAAACTGAACCACAGAAAGACTAATATGATTAATAATACATTAATCAGCAGCACAAGAAGAGAAGATATATATAGAAGAAAATAGTGCTGACAACACAACCTCCAAATGAGTTTTGGTGATTTACTTTGGTCTATCTTATCTGGGTCTGTGGATTGATCACCATTAACACATAGACAGCATTCAGATTCTGAAGAACAGAGAAAGCATTGAGATATACCATAAGTAGCTAATATACTAATCTAGTAAAGAAAAAAAAAAAGTTTCAAGCTAGGCAACACTTTCCCTCAGTATAATAAAGCAGAGGCTGTGCAAAATCAAAATATAAAATATAGTAGCTATAGAAGTCTGACTTAAAAGAACATTTCAGCTTTGTTAGCACTGTAACTAGCAAATTTGTATCCTAGTAATCCAAAAGGAGGACTTCCCTTCCTGCACTGGAATATATGAGGTCCAGTAGTAAGCATGCACAAAGTGACTTGCTAAAGTTCAAACAAGAAGTTCCGAAGACCAAAATACCTTTCTTCTCAAAGAACTTAAGACATCAGCAAGGAACAGGACTTGGAACTTTGCTAAAGCAAAAATGTGCTTTCCTACACTGAATAAAACATTGTCAAAATATCAGTATACTGTGAGATGTTCAATGGAACACTGGGGAAAATAAGGAAAAAAACTTAAAATATTTAAGCTACTTTAAATAGTAAAGCTCCCTCTATTGCCGTTTCTCAAAGCCAAAATATATGTGAGCAAGTCTATGATGACTTTAACAGATAGCAGCACTGTTTTTTTAATACATTTCTGAGGGACAAAAACCAAAGGAATATTTTTAAAGTAACATATGATATAATTATAGATAAAAATAAAACTAAGAATTCTGTTACATAACTCCCTTTTTCATTCTCATAAAATAATTTATTAATATAATCCAATATGAAAAGTCATAAAAGATCATCTGATTTCAAATGGTGAATTTTATGACTAAGTAAACATCAGGGAATAAAACATTAAATATATCGCTCAGTACCTCTGAAATTCCATACGGAATATCAACCTTTGTAACTATTTAGAACTGTCAACTACAAACAAATTGTACAGTGTGCATTGTGCCAGGTGCAGAATCTTGCTCCTGAAAATAACTGAGCCAGAAAGTATAACCATGTCCATTATTCACAGGCTTACAGATCACTTTGGATATGACCCCTAACTAGTACATAATCAGCATCATTTGTAAAGTGAGAATTAACTATAAAACCAATATTGCACAAATGTTAGCATTCAGGAATTCTGCAAGTGATTAGGATTGATGCATAAGTATCAAATCAACATACCATGTATCTTGTCCCTCCTTTCACTGTCAGTGTCCTTCCAGAGATGAAAAACTCCACCACTTCTGAATTTGGTGCCTTCACATTTTTTGGAGGTCTACACTTAATCTCAGATTTAGAACATGCTTCAAAGGTATCACTATGAGTAAAATCCTGCACTTCAGTAAAAAGCTTAAATAAAATGGAAGACAACTTCATACGATACCCTTGCATTTTTGTTATTGATGTAGCAACCTCTTATGCTGAAAAAATACTCTGGGTTTTCAGTATGGTTCACTCAAACCCAGCCTGTGAGACTTGATATGGAAACAGACTTTTAAATTAGCAAATTGGATACCATCAATGGGCCAAAATGTGCCACTAAAGTCTAAATTTTGAAAAGAAACATCATAATCTGAAAACAATTTAAGACCCAAAACTTTACTACTGCATTCCCTTTTTCATTTCTGGGAACTTGGAATTTATTCAGCGAGCCTCAAGGTATTAAAAAAAAACAACAACAAAACAACGAAAAAGAAAAAAGAACCTAATTAGACATGAAGTAAAAAAGTAACTAGGACTACACTGAGCACAGGAACATTTCTATTTTTAAAAGAAGCATTTCAGGCTTCTCAAATACTTCTATCCTTTTAGAATAAGATTTCATTGATCGGATAATATTTAGGTAAACATTTTTCTACAGAAACCAGGAAAATGCAAATCTAAATCAAGCAGCAATATTTGTCTAACATCCTTGGCACTGTTCTTTGATAGTAAGAAACTTCAAATGTCCGCTTGTTAAACAGACAGAAATTATATTGAAAAGAGAGTCAACCCACTTCATTTGCAGCCTTAGGCTTCTTAAGATGAAGACCGGAACCAGTATTAGAAATGCTAACTTTCTAGATTTTTTAATCACTATGAATTATGAAAAGGCTTATCACAGCTCAAAACCAGGATACTGTGGGTGCCTGCTTTGATCAAACTGTCAAGTCCTACACAGTTCTTGGCAAAGATTCTTTTCAATTGGGAGTAGCCAGGTACGGGAACGCTTGCATCACAAGACTTACAATATGTACACACACAAAAGCAGTTCAAATCAAAGTAAGAGGTTACTTTAGCCAAACAGAAGCTATACCAATTAGTTTTTGCATCAAACAGGCAGTGTATTTCATAATAGAGTAAAAAGCATACAGAAGTTGCAACTCTATTTATAACAACATTTTTCAGTTTTCTTACTCTTTGCCCTGCAGGAATATGGTTTTGATTTTGCTGTTAGAAAATGCAGCCAGCATGTATTTCTCTCTGGCAAACATTGTAGAATACAGAAGTCATTTTGTGATTAATATTTCTCAATTATATCCCAGTTCTTCCCCTACTAACTTAAAAATCAATTGTATTTGTTAACCATAGGGTGGAAGCATTGCATGTGATAAATTAAACTCAAAGATGATCGAGGTGTAGTTACTCATCAGTAGAAAGATACATTTCATTATTTAGGAATAACCAAATAAACTTTTACCAGCACTAATATGTTTTTACATATTATAATTTTATAATGCCATTAACTCATCAACACTTAATGTACATTAACTCACTGAATATTATCTGCAAAAATATCTGAATTCTTGGTACTCTTAAACTTGTTCCCATTGCACACCAGTCAATTTGTTAGAATGTTACTTGTTTAATAATATGAATGAACTAATGAACTATTCCTTGTCATGTTCAATTTTTTTTTCTTTTTTTCCAAAGGAAAGACAAAAATATAATCAGTCAAAATGTTTCAAAGAGAAGTCTACAAATGTCCCTGAGCTGTATTTTGTCCTAACAGTAGAGCTGTAGCAAGTTTCTCAGAATCTGAAACTTGACTCAGATTTCCAGTGGGGACAGGAAGAACAGTGAAAGATATCTATGGACACTGATGTAAATTATGCAGAATTCCAACCCATGAGACACACTAAATTGTACTGACTGGCACTGTGCCCACCAGGGACTACGTGCCAACTGGAGCAGGATGCAATCTAGCTATTCAGCTTCCTATAATGAGCTACCAATTGTCAAGAATTTGGAGTAAGGGTAAAATCATAAGCTATTAATTTATTTTCTATCAGCAGCCTTTCTTAACAAAAGCTTTATGGCAAAAGAGAAAAGGTTTTACAACTACACTTCTTTTTATACTATTCACTCTCAACCTTAATTAGGATCTCAACTAATTACATAGCATGTGTCATGCGTTGGGATCAAAATTAGATATGTTTCATTTTACAAATAAAATAAAAGCTTCTGTTCTGTATTGAAAACTACGTTCTCAAATGCAAATTACCAGAAACTTGAAAAAGGTATCTTATCATGGAAACCATGAGAATATAGTAGCCATTGCCAAATCTTCACAAATCTGCCAATAAAACCTTCACACATGATTAGAGTCCATATTTCAAACTGGCTACAAAAGTAAATTCCATTTGCTCTGAATCTGAAGTTAACTTCTTGAAATTGAAGTCAACTTCTTAATGAGTCACCAAGAAAGACCTAAAAGTTAGACAGCTTTCCTAAACAAGTATTTTGGAAGAATGCATTTATAAGCCCAATTTCAAAGAGCAATACTACTAGCTAGCAAGTATCTATCTCTTATTAAACACCAGGGAAAACATTGTGCCAACAATACAGGACATTAAGTTAAAATTATGTGCAAACTCAGAAAAGGTAGCAGTACACTTCTACTCAAGACTCTTTGCTAGGAGTAGCTAATTTAAATATAGCAGACAGTGAGAAAAGACCTAGTCTGCAAGGGATGCACAAAAAATTCTAAACACAGGTGAGGGTCTTTTCATTTTGTATTCAATGTTCCTAAGAAACCAGCAACAAAAGCTTCACCACCCTGTGTTTGATTGCCTAAATAAATTGATGTGTAGTTGCTAGACAGTTCCAATGGTAAAATACACAGACACTATGCACACTGCATAAAGCTGTGTTACAGAAGATAACATTCTCCTCAACTATGATGGCATATGACAACTGAGAGTCAAGTACTGTGAAAATTTTGAGAGATTAGCTCTTAACAATCACTACGAGTGACAAGATTTGTTCATTTCCCACACAAAATACAAAAAAAAAAAAAGCATCAGGAATCAAATGCTAGTGCTACATAGTAATTAAGCATATAAAAGTGCAATTGACCTCAGTTTTGCACATTAAGCTGAATCTTAGGAATGCGCATGAAAGAACTACATTGCGTACAATACAAGTACCTACTGTAGTTTTGGAGGAAAAATAAACAAAAACATTACTTACATACTTGTCATCTGAACCACTGGCTATAAACTTCCCACAAGGAGATACTGCAATTCCACAAGGGTAGGAGTGGCTACTGTGCCCTTCAAATCGACGTTCACACCTTCAGAGAAGTTTCACAAAGTCTCATTAGTAAAAAATAAAGACTAGCTCTTTTACCACCATTTTCATGAAATTCTGCTCAAGTCTCATCATTTTTCTCAGTGTACAAATTTAACTAAGGCAACTACACTAGGTTACAAATATCTGTCATAGGATTTGTGAAATTGGAAAGGCATTAAAGAGTATCACTGAATAAAAATAAAATGAGTGCACAATACTACAGGACAATGCTCAAGCCCAAGCTTTAGCCTTGCTTAGTTTACAAAGGTAGAAACATCATTAGCATTTAGAAATGATACCTGCCATTAAACTACTATAGTTAGCTACCACAGAACTATATGATAGAATGGCTTATATTGAAATCAGCTTTAGACATCATCCAGTTCCAATCTCCCTGCTGTGAGATGGGCTGCCACCCACCAGACCAGGCTGCCCATGGCCCCATCCAAGCTGTCCATGAATGCCTTCAGAGGTGAGGCATCCACAGCTTCTCTGGGTAACCTATTCTGTGCCTCACCATCCTATCTCCTGGAGGAAAGCCAAACCAACACTGCTGGAAGCATGGAATGTTTATGTAAAAGCCAGTCTACACAGAAATTCCCCTCTAGCAACTTCCACTGAATCAAGATGCAGAATGTTGAATCATAGTGTAAATAATTACTGCTTCCTCTTTTTTATACTCAAGTCTGGATATTTAATTTAATTTGTGTTGCTGTATTTACATTCTTACTCCGTGCATTAGTTTACTGCATCTTGTAAAATCAATACAAAAATGAGCTTCCAAAATTATAAATATTTGAATATAAATATATCTACAGTACAACTGTAATTAATCTCTTATCTATATTAGTACAGTATAAAGGAAGGATTGCATTTAAATTTAACAGAAGGAATTAATTCCCTATTTTAAATGTTAACACTGCAAGGTAGCATTACTATCATTGTGGAGTAAGTTTTTGATGGCTGGGCACACCAGGGCAATATAAGAAAAATTTTAAGTGAGATGAAGATCACTATCCATCTTAGAAAGTTCACGCTAAAGAACTGTGATAGTTTTGTAGTCACAGCAAAACTAAGGAAAAAAAAAGAAAAAGAAAAAAAGACAATTTAAAGTTGTTTCACTGTTAAAAGCCATTTTAACACACGTAAAAATTAGAGCTCCAATCACATTCAGAATGATTATTTACAAATGTGTGCCTCATTTAAAAGTTTAATTAAATAAATGACTTTTCACACTGTCTGATAGTGATAGGATAAGGGGGAATGATTTTAAACTAAAAGAGGAGAGATTTAGAATTGATATTAAGACATTTTTTACTCAGAGGGTTGTGAGGCACTGGCACAGACTGCCCAGAGAAGCTGTGAGTGCCCCATCCCTAGGGAGATGGGACCCTGAGCAGCTTGATCTGGTGGGTGGCAGCCTGGTCCGTGACGGCAGTTGGGATGAGTGGGGTTTAAGGTCTGTTCCAACCCAAGTCATTCTATAATTCTATACCCACAAGAAGTTATAATTTCAAGGCTGACATAATAATTTGTATTCCTCTTCTGCCTTCATTGTGAGTGCTATCACAAAATCTTTTGCCATCGCTCCGTTGTCACACACTCCCTATGCATGCTAAGTCAAGGAACAAAACTGAAAGAGTAAAACCTGCCAACACCTGCGATACACAATTTTCTCTGGCCAGTAACATCATTATCATTGCGTTAATTGAATCAACTGAACTTGCTTGCAGAAACATTTATGTTTTTAAACCATTTTGTTCTTTTTCAGACGTATATATGTCTGAATGCCAAGTTGATCTTGTTTACCCGTCTGAAACAGGCAAATAAACAAAAACATTACTGTGTAACTGATTCAACGTATGCTGAACAAAGCACAAAAGGACACTTTTGAGTGCATGAAAATGCATCATTTTACAGAGCTTAACTCTCAAAGATTATACTGAGATTCAACCAAATATATAGAAAAAGCTACTGATTTCAGTGCACTTTTTTTAGTATAATCAGATCTCTCACCTCAGGTTAGTTCTAATATAATACTGTAAATAGCACAGTTTTAAAAAAAATTATGCAGTTCAAAAAGAATTAAATTATAAAGACATTCAATGACTGCGAGTACTACATAAAAACATTCTTTCCACTTCAGTTTCTATATAACTCTTGAGTTCATGTTCAGAGACTTTCAAAAACAAATGGATGCTATTGTATAACCTGCCTCTATTCAAGCTTTCCATTGTCAGAAAAGAGAAACATCAGCTACCTCAGATTTCTCTCCAAAGCAGCACTCTATCACCACATAAGACTCCAAAGGTTAGGTAACATAGAACAAGTAGCAGAATACATATTTAAATTAAATTTTCAGAGAGAAAAAATGAACAATATTCATAATTTCTCAGTCACACATGAATATGCCTCCAGGATCACCTTACTTCTTTAGGTATACAGCTAGCCATAAGGATTAAACGGAGTTTAAGGCCTCATTCCATAAATGCTAATTTCCGTGATGAACTGTTCCTTCTTCATAGAAACATCTACAAATAAATTACTGATGATCTTGCAAAAGAATTTGACTCTGCAGCTACATCCCGTAACTCACTTCTCTACCTATGAATGGATTGATAAGAAATAACACAATTCCAAGGCTTCCACTGATCTTTTTTTCTGCTACACTACAGCAGTGTAAAACAAAGGCTGAGTCATAGGACAGTACAACTCTTCACAGCCATAGTAATAACTAACAACCTGGATTCCATTTTCTTAGTTGTTCCCTGTTACAGACACGTTGTATTTTCCATTACAAGTGTAGTTACTTTTCCAATCCTTCAAAATTCTGCTCTAAGATGACATTTCAAAAAAGTGATTCCAGTTAAAATTTCCACACAGTCTGGCAGAAATTTTGCTATGCTATCTATTATCTCCAGATATCTGCAGGTACTACAGTGATGAAAAGAAGTGAAAAAAGAAGCTTTTAAAAAATAGCTGGTATTACACACACAATTTTAGCTTATTCTAGGAGCTCACTTATTTCAGCCATTATTTTTCTCCTGTTGTGTTAAGTAGCAGCAGGTGGTGATCAAACTTATTTTGGACACTGCAAGCCTTCCTCAGCCAACTGGCATGCTGTCCCAGCCTCCTGAGAATAAATCTCTGGTCAGAACTTTTCAGGGGTTACTATGGCAAACATCTGGTAATTGCATGGGACAGCAAATAGCCAAAATTTCCCTATGCTTTCCAATGTATAGCTTTTAGACTACTTTCCAAAAAAAAATGTATCTTATGTCACAAACATCTTGTACAATACTGGGGAAAAAAAAAAAGTAACTTTTTTTTCTGTCTTTGAAAGATACCAAAATAGTATATTGATATATCAGGGAATGTGTAAATGAGTTTATTTCATTCTTCTTGTTACATTCAGAATAAACTTGTTAGCAGCCCAAAGCTTTCTTCTTTTTAAACTACCTCATCTTTTACTCTGTTACTTTGTCCCTGTGCTGCACTATTTGCTCAGAGAACCTACAACACCAGCAGATCTATTGAGATGCTATGAATATCCAAGTATAACCCGACAGGAGTAGTAGCTAACTCAGATGTACTGTACACATGGGTTTCATTTAAAACACACGCTGAACTCTTCATATAGGAGCTCAGCATGCTTTCAGCAACAGTGTGAAGCTGAGACCACACATTTCCCATCCTGTATGCCTTGATGCAACCCCAATCCCAAACTTGGAGGAACTCCAGCCACTGCTTATCCCTTTCTCCTTTATTATCCTCAGATAACACTCAAACATTTAGAGGGAATTAAAAAAAAAAAAAAAGAGAGAGAAAGAGAGAGAGGGGAATCATGGGATTCTCATGTTCAGAAGAGACCAAGAAAGAAAAGAAATAATTTGTTTCTTAATGTGTTTTTGTGTATCTTGCTCAGAATATCATGCAGCTAGTGGAGGCAGAAACTGAAAATTTTCTGAAAATTGAAAGCAATTCATTTAAATTGCATGTCTGACTCTAATGCTCTCAAAGTGCAATTGTTAGAAAATGTATGAGATGAGTTCCATGTGCCTGCAAGAATTCTCCTGAAGCATGCTGCCAAGGGAGCTTATGATCTAGTTGCACAAGATCATGATACAAGTTGGACATACTACTTTCATGTCAAAAGCTGTCTCGTGTAAAGACCTGGCAAATCATTTCAGAGGCTGAAAGAGGGTGAAACTAATTTTTTCTTGGGTCTTCCACCAAAGCATTGTCATGACCGCAAGTAATCTGCAGGAGAAGTTCAGTATGTTCAAATAAACTAATACTCTTCAAAAATCTTCACTGTGGTCCCACGAGTGCACGCTGCTTTCTTCCAGGAGATAAGGAACAATTGCTCCAGCAGCAAACATAGTCGGAGCAGCTGAACTTCTATTCCTTAACACTTCAGAGTCAGTCAGAGGAAGACTGCTGCTGCCACAAAAGGCATTAATAGTGGTGGTGCCTGGAGCTCCTCACAACGTTACTTCTGACAGTTTCAGTGGTGACAAGAGCAATCTAGTTGCTGTCACATCTACTTTCCCAAACACAGCATGGTAGCAGCCCAGTCCTCTAAGCAGGGCAATAGCTTTTCTGTTCTCTTCCCACTTCTGTGTAGAAAATTAGCATATCTGATAGAACAGCACTACTGTCTCGATCTCCGGATTAATTCCCAACTTCATCTGTCCTTTTCCATCCTGCTTTTCCAATTACGTCACAGCAGATGTCTCAGCAAGTTCTCCACACTATACATCTCTGTGGCAAGTAAAGAAGAGAAAGTGCTGGTTTCACAGAATTATAGAATGGCTGAGATTAGAACCTCAAGAAGTCATCTGATCCAACTTGACTGCTTAAGCAGGGGCATAGAACCATGTCCAGTTAAGTATCTCCAAGAAGGGAGACCCTACAGATTATCAAGGCAATCTGCCACAGTGATGTCACCCCCACAGTAAAAGAGTTTTAAGAGGATTCCTTAAACCCTCCCTTCAAGTA